TTTTGAAAAATGTTTGAAATTAGGGGAATCTTAGTTAAATTTTTAAAATTTTTGGAAAATGTTGTTTGAAATTAGGAGAATCTTGGTTAAGTTGGAAGTTGTTAAAATTTTTAGAAAATGTTTGAAATTAGAGGTTAAATTGTTAAAATTTTTGGAAAATGTCGTTTGAAATTAGGGGAATCTTGGTTAAGTTGGAAGAGCTAGAATTTTTGGGACACCCTGTACATATTTGTTGATTGTGGAGGACATCGAATTACCTGGACGACGTGGCTGACACGACGGAAAGCTTGCCAGACGCCCCGGAACCTTGACTACCGACTGACGAGAGCCTGGACGTTCTCCCACTGATGTTCAACAGAACAATCTCCGAGCAATTGCTGTCCTTACGCTCTCTGTCCAATTGTTTGCCGCTGTAGTCGGACAGAGAACCATCCTCCTTCCGCCTCTTGGCCAATTTCTTCGATTCCCTTTTCAGATCTTGCTCGTGAATCGGATCTTGCAGATCGAGCTCCTCCGTCGACGATCTCAGATCCTGGGCGTCCTCCTTGTAGCCCAGAGTCAGCTTGCATCCGGGTGGAGGTTCTCCGCCTGGTCAATTCGTTACAATTTTGTTTTGTTATTAATTATAATGCATCTCGAGAAGGATCGATAAGTCTAAATTCTACAGACACGAAAAAGAATTTCTATACAATTTTCTTTCTAACGCAAGGCTACGGTTAACCTCTTCGGGTAAGTTGTTAAGAATATATAATATGACGATGAAAGTGAAGTAAAATATTATTTGTGCTTGTTTTTATTATTAAAAGATGCGAAAAGCGAAGACAAATTTTTTTCTTTTGTTCTTAGAACCATTTCAATTTAAAAAATTAAAGGTATACACATGTGTTCCCGAAGAGGTTATAAAGGCGAAATTCTAGTTACGGATACGCTACCTACTTTTTACTTTCAAACGAAAACTCAACGAATATAAAACCTTCGTTTCTACATTCATCCTGGTACTGTTTAATTGGCAAACTTCGAAAGTAATAAAAACGCCGAATCGTTGGATTGGCATAAGGTTCCTCTCGTTTTTTTTCCACGTGAATTGAAATTTACGATAATGTATATTTTTAAAAAAAAAATACGAGGCAGCTTCGTTCTCGTAATAAATTCTCTGTTCACAAATAAAAAAAAAATTCAATTTCTGAAAATGTTGTTTTTCTAGGTGAATTTCGATGCATCTTTGATATCATGTTCAAATATCGAACAAATTTATACCATGATGCATATCGCTCTTTGATTTCTTCAAATCATTTTCTCCAATTTTCATATTAATTCTTTCTTTCATCAAATATTTGCCTAATTATCGCACATAATTAACAAATCATCTCTAAATTTCAGCAGCTATTATTTTTTGCACAAGCATCGCAGTTAATATAACCTAAAAATTATTGACATGCGTAATAAATGCAAATCAAATTAAACTTCCATTAAACGACTTAACTTTGAAACAGATCTCGCATTTCGAAATCAATATCAACGTGTAAAAGCACATAAAACTTTAACTCGAATCTAAGAAGAAAAAGTAAACGATCGTCCGTTAAAATTGTAAAAAGATCGAATCCGATGAACTCGTTATCGCGTTACAGATCAGCGAGAAAAATGCTACGAGTGACGGAAAAAGGGAGAAGATTCACGAGGCAATCGAGAATCATGTCGCTTTTTGAATCGAGTATGTTCGCGACAAAGACCCTCTCGAATATAGGACAAACTTGCAGTGGAGACCTCTCCGTAATGTATATGCGTATTAATTCGTGGCGCGCAAGCAGAAACAGGGCTCGCGTTATCTCTCGAGGGAGCATTTAGAAACAACACGGTGAACACATCGTATTCTGTTCTCTTCTCGGATCGATCGTGACCCAGCCTCGTGGTAACCTTCTTCTTCTATGCCAGTCCAGGAGAATCGTCCACGAATCGATACGAGTCATATGTATGATCTTTTCACGATTCGATGATATTTCTAATGGATTCGAGCTACTGTAAACTAATCACTACATCGAAACAGGAGAATCGTCGAAACGCTTCGAGTGACATCTACGATCTTTTCACGATTCGATGATATTTCTAACGGATTCGAGCTACAGTAAGTTGAATATTATATCGAAATAGGGTCTAGGAGAATCGTTTTTCGAATCGATACGAGTCACATCCACGATTCGATCATATTTCTAATGTAAGTTAAGTTAATCGTTATATCGAAAGAGAATCGAGGAAAATCGATCTTCTCACAATTCGATGATATTTCTAATGGTGAATTAGTTAATTAACTAGGTTAATCACTATAGATGAAAGAGAGAATCGTTTTGTTTCTCGAATCGATACGAATCACATCTATGATCTTTCTACAATTCAATGATATTTCTAATTTAAGCTACTGTAAACTAATCGAAAGAAAAGAAAGGTTTAGGTTTTGCTACTCAACGCGTTACGAAACACTCGTAATACGCATGATCGATATTTTAATCCATCTATGCTACATTTTAGAATTTGTTTGAATGTGATCAAAGTTGTACGCTTACGATAGATTCCATCAAATGCACATGTGTGTAGAGGTTTGCTACAGCTGCGTACTCTCTGTTCTTTTAACTCGAAAGGTAAATTATACGCGGAAAAGTAAACTAAAGAACGTCTCCACTCAACTATGAAATCGAAGAGAGTACACGTTTTGATGGATTATTTCCCTTTTAACTCCACGAGAAAAGAAAAAGAGAAGAAAATATTGGCAAAAAGTATTCCTTTAAGATAGAATAACTTTCTTAAAATTCAATTGATCAAACGACTCGAGTTTTCTTTTTGAAAACTTGGAAGGATTACTTTATCAGATAGACGGAAAAAGATGAAGAAAATAAACAAACCTTTTTACAAACTTTTCTTTTATCCTGAAAAATTAAACGATACGTTTTGTCACGATTTATGTCACTTGTACGCACATTAAAAATTTCATCGAAATCGATGTAGAAATAAGCGATAGGCATCGAAGTATGTAAAAATCTATTGATTTATATATACGATCGAATACTTTCTGCCAGATGATTGTGTTACAAGCACATAATTTGTCACATCGACGAGATGTTCGCCGTTCGAAAATTTGCACGCGACAGAGATAGAAACTGCAAGAACTAACGAAACACTATCCGGCGATATAATTGGATCTCGTCATACGTTTCTCGCGACCGTGGAAAATTCAATTTCCCTTCGCAGAAACGATTTAACTTCCAATTTCCCTCCCACGTGGAAACTTCTTCTTTCTTCCCCGCGGTGTCTCTCGTAACACTAGGACTCTGAGCCGGTGGATGAGTCAGATCCAATTGTTAATTCGAAACTCAAATAACCCTAACTCGTTAGCAATGAGTCACTCGCGATATTATCGTTCCCGTGCTTCGTTAGAGGGTGGAAACGTTCGAGGATGTCGGTTATTCACGTGACCCCGTCCATCTTTACAATGCACGCGGATATTGGTCGTTTCAGAAACTTGACACGATGGCGCTGAGATACGTGTGAAAAGGATAAATCGAATACCGATACGCTTCGAAGTTTCGCGCCAATTTTCTTGGACGACGTTACCGACAAACAACGAAACTATATAAAATAGCGAATAATAAAATAATAATAAAATATTCGTTCATAGAAAAGGAAGATAGAAAAGTATACAAAGTTTTTCTGATAAATTAATATATGGTAGACTAAATAGAGATGATGAAGTCAAGAATAAAGTTTCATGAATTTTTAATTGATTTCTCAAAGAATAATTATAGTGGGCGTACAAAGAACGTCGATCAACTATACGAATAAATGTTATTCGAGCGTTTTAAATATCGTTTAAATATCAATATATGTATTCATAGTTTATCAAAACGGGCTGAAAAATTAATTAATTAAAACATCGAATAAAATTAAGTTTCTCTTCGTATATTCGACGCTTCGAATGATAAAAGTTTATTCAAGTAACCATCTTCGCAATATTAACTCACTGTCCCCACCCACGATTTCGATGCCACAATCGACGGATACTACGTTCAATCGAATTCCCTTTTTAATACCACGCGAACGGGTCCCTCTCACATTTCGTTAATCGTTTCTTTTATCGAAACGACACACACGCAGGAAGAAAAAGGAGAAACGACGTGACAAGTTTTTGACGCGGTTCAGAAGAATACCTGCGAGGAGTTCCCTCTCGGGCGTGGAATCCCTGGAGTTACTGTCCTCATGGTGGGAGGAACTGCTCGCCCTGCTGATGTCAATTCTCGGCGTGCTGGGTGTCTTAAGCGAACTACCAGGCGTTGCCGGCGTGGTGACCTCGACGATGCCTGGCATTCGCGCAGCCGGTTCCCCCTGCATTCAAATTCGTAAGGCTGGTTTTGTCGTGTCGAGTCACAGTCACTGGGGTGTGATGGTTGATTGGTTGGTTGGTTGGTTGGTTGGTTGGTTGATTGGTTGGTGACGGACAACGCACACACAGGTGTCGCCCCGTGTCTCACGGGGACACGCGGAGATTTTTCGACTTTGGAAGGGGGAACGCGCGTGATCTTGGCGAGATCTTGGACGATCTTACGCGCACACTTCCGTCCCGCTCGGATACAGCCGACTTAGAAGTGAGGAGACTCGGGGAGGACACAGGGAAGGACTCACGTTTTCCACCTCGTCGGACAGGTCTTCGAAGGATGCTATCGGCGCTGGTCCAAGCTTCCTCTGATGAACGCTCGGTATTCCTGACGCCATATTTTTCGATAGCTCAGCCCTCGATGATGCTGCAAAAACAACGATCCTTTATTTCCAATCCCCAATCTTCTCCTTCTCCTTCCCGCTAAAAAAACTCTTGGAAAACAAGTAATGCAAAAATAAGTAGCTCGAAACAAACGAGTTTACACTCTTCTCGATATTATTCGCGATCGAGTATTATTTAAGAAATGTATATTTAAGACAGGAGCGCTGTCGATTCAACTTCGCGTTTTAAAACGGACGGATCTATTGCCGGGGAAGTTGCGATTGCGAATCACGGCCGGTGTCGAAGACGCTAATCAGCGTTTAAGCGAAGGACGTATCGATTAACCGGCGCTCACGTGGTGCAGGATGTGCCGACATTGAGGGCCACTTGTCATACACGATCGGGCGTGCTCGACCGCGTCGCGCCACCAATTTTCCATCAAATTCTTCTCTCCATGTTTTTCGCCACGGCCTTATTACCCCGTATCCTCGTTTCACTTCTCGCCTCGTAAAACCATTCGTCCTTCGAATATTCGCGCGATATTATAACTTTATTACACGGGTATATTTTACGATGGATAATTACGACGCGTGCGCCGTAAATTTTTCCAAATATGAAAAATGGAAAAGATTTTATCTTGATTTCGATATGCACATTTATCCCGTTACGTACATTCTTAAACATTTTGTATTTATGAATTTTGAAATGTGAGAAATGGAGAAGAGTTTTTCAGAAATTTTCTCGTGGATTTCGTTAGATTCTTGTCTCGAAAAGTGTTAAGAAAAGAGGAGGTAATCGAATTTGTGAACAAGGTTTTCATTATCCGAGTGTCAACAAGTTGCAAACCGCGAAAATTGACACGAATCACACATTCATAACTCGGTCGTTCAATTTTACACGGCGCGTTTATTCGATCCTTTGTTCCGTTCGATTCGAGGACACGACGATATCCTTGATATTCGCGAAGGCGAAGACTGTCGTTTCTCTTTGAAATGAAATGCGGGGGTGGTGGATTAAGCGAGGTTTTCCGTCAAAGGAAAAAACATTGAAAAAAAAAAAAAAAGAAAATATTCGAAACCTTGAGAATTAATTTATCGAGTCGTTCTATCGTCATCCAATTGACACGAATTAAATTTTGAAAGAAAGATCGGCGCACGATTGGCTCTCCGTATTATCACGATATATCGTTAAATAAATTCCATTAATGGAAAAATATAATAGACTCGGGAAGAAAATATTTGCAAAAAATCTATAACCACGAAATTTTTCTTCGAGTTTTATAAATTTTCGAAGTCATTCGAAGTGAGGAAAAATGAAAAAGAAAACTTAAAAATTCGAAATTTATTATTTTCGTTAAATAATAAAATTGTGCGCACAGTTGAATGTTAATTCAAAAAAAAAAAAAATCTTTCCGTATTCAATCTTCGAATTATTATCGAAGGAATAAAAATACGTTGCACGTAACATAAGTTTGTAATAAAACGATGTTTTTCTCTGAAGTTGACTCTAGTTGAAAACATTGAACAGGGTACCTATCGGTCGTTTCGATGGGGCATACTGGGAAACGAGTTAATCCGTTAAAAAACTTAGTTCAAGCTCGCCGTTGCTTCGTAAGGAAGAGAGAAGAAAAGAAAGAGTAAGTAAGAAAGGTCGTTGATACGCTGAGCCAATTAGCAACCGAGTCTCGAGGGTCTCATGCTTGAAACGTGTTAAATACATGCTACGCGCACACACACATACGCGCCTCGAACAATCTAATTGTAAGTTCTCCATGGATGACGAATATTATCGATTGAGAGGCAATCGAGGGAACGGTGAATTGGCGCGAAGAACTGTGAAAATCTTCGTTCCTCGATTTTCAGTCCGCGAAGTTGAGTGAAGTAATTATACACTCGTCGAAATGTATTCTTTTCAAGAGATTTGTTCGATAATAAATTTCCTTTTTTCATTTCTCGATCTTCTGAATGAATTCGAGAGAAAGGGAAAAAGAAAGAAAAGCAAGAGGTAAGAATTTTTTCACGAATACTTTATAACTTTATCCAATTAAAATTGTTTTTCTCTAAATGAAAATTTTCGCAATGATCCATTCGCAATATATTATAAGTTTTAATTCAAGTCATCATTCACAAAATCTCCCTCGTCTCGTTCCAATCTAACGAGACAATCGTTAGTTGAAATAGTTCGAATAAATGATAAATGAGTCTTAATAAAATCTTTTTTTTTTGTTTCCGAACCATCGAGAATTTTCTCGAGAATTTTCTCTCGTTTTCGATCGAAAGTGATCGGATCGATCATTGATGGAGACGAAAAATTGGGGACAAAGGGATTGGAAGAAATAAGGAAGATAGTCGTTGCGATCTTTTGTAATAATATCTATAAAGTTGGAGAATTTGGCCTGAAGCCGAGCGAAGCTACGATAGAATTCGCCTGTCTACTTCCCCAAACTTTTCTCTCTGCTCGCCAATGAATTATACAGATCCTACGATTTATCACGCTATTTTCGAATGGGAGAGTTTCGACGGTTACGACGAACGCGGTCAAAACGATTCGTAAATCGATCGATAAAGAGAGATCTGAAACGAGATTTAAATTTCGAATAGAATTCCTTTCTATTCGAATCGCTAACGACTTTTTCGTTGTTACAATTTTCTTTCTTTCCAACTTACCACTTTGCGCCAATCTAACCTCTCTCTCGGACGCGATTTCGACACGCTCCGTTTGACACGTGGACGACGACGGTCACCGACACGCCACACACAACGAAACGATGCTCGGCCATGTTTGCGGATCGCCTGTTCTTTCCATCGACGAAGTTCAAAGGGATTACCTCAACGCTCTGCACCCTCCTCTTTCGGTTACATTTGTCTAGACCCGATTAAACTCGTCCTTTGTGTCTTGCCTATTTTGTTTTTCGTTTTACACGAAACAATTAATCAATCGATACATTACATTACATTTGTCTAGATCTGTATCCTTTGTATCTCGTCTATTTTGTTTTTCATCTTTCTTTTCCTTTTTTTCGTACGACACGAAACGATCAATCGATATACATACGGCACATACAAGCTTATCTTATGTTCCTTACTAGGTTCTTAACCCGTGAATAAGTGGAGAAAGGGTATGGACCCTTAAATCTACTGGATCAAGAATGACCCAGACAACTGTGAGCGTTACAGAAAGGTATGGAACCGTGCCAATAAACTATCTATCTTATGAGGAAGAGGAAGAAAAGGGAGCCAAGAGGGTCCAATGGTTATTCATCTTCCAGTTTTGGAAAGTGGAAGGCATCGACACCGATATCGCACCGATTATTCCTTGGTATAATTCTATAGGAAGGGAGTGGGAGAGGGAGTGAGAGATTGGATGGAGGGGGAGAGAAGACTAGACGACTCTATTCTCGGATCGACGGGCATCGTTGTGCAGTTCCAGCAGAGGCCGTGGAGGCCCTGGCTGCGGAGAAAATCGGAAAACAGGCGAGCTGCTCTCGAAGCGAAAGCATAACGCCGTTATAAATAGAAGAGCCTTGTTAGCGGTTACACGACGTTAGAGAACGTGTATATATATATGTGTACACAGGGTGATTCATAACTGGTCACTGTTCACTAGTGGAAAGAAGTCTCGTAGAAGAAATTGATTGGTTAATTTGGAAGGAAACGCCTATTTTCACAAGCAATTTTGTTGTAGCATGGTTTTTATACATATTAATCCAAAATGATCGATCTATATCTAAATTTCGATATATTAAACTTATTTCTCATCAATAATTACGATTTGTAACGATAGTTTAATTTATAAATATAATTTTCTATTCGAATAGTTAAGATAATAATTGTATCTATACAAATATATATTGATATGTGTCGAAATAATTAAATTTCGATTATTTTTACGTAACTTTGGAAATAATTTGTACGATTTTTAATATTCAAATTATAGCTTTTTTATTACTATGCAGCGTGTGGTATTACGATTGTCAACAAAATGTCTGAAATGGAGATAGGCGGTCCTAGCGAAGAATTCCTCTTGCCCCTGTGCCGTCTTGCGAGACTTTTTTCTAGCAGTGAACAGTATACTGATGGAAAGAAGTCTTGCAGAAGGAATCTGATTGGTTAATTTGAAAGGAAACGTCTATTTCGCACATACATTTTTCTACCATGGTATTTGTCACATATACTAATCCAAAACGACCGATTTGTATCCAAACCTCGATGTATTAGACATAGAATTCAAAGAATTTTAATTTCTTATTTCTCATCAATATATATATACGTAGACTGATTATGATTTTTAACGATAGTTTAATTTATAAATTTACTAATTTTATATTCGAATAGTTAAAATAATAATTGTACGAATATATACGATGTATATATGTTCGAAATAATTAATAATTTCGAAAATATTTCAGTTTTGATGATTATCCTAACTATTTTTACGATTTTAAATATTCAAATTATAACTCTTCTACTATCATATAGTGTATGATGTCAGGATTGTCAACAAAGTTGAAGTGGAGATACACGGTCCTAGCGAAGGACTCTTCTTGCTCGTGTACCGTCCTGCGAGCTTCTTTCCAACAGTGAACATATATATGTATAAGGTGTGTACACGTGAAATATGGGAATACGATAAATGAAAATGATTTGTGTATGTGTGTGTCTCTCTGTAATTGAGAGATTCGTCATACGTATTTGCCATCGTTTTTTTCCTTCCATAGGCAAATTTTTTGACGAGAAGATATAACGGGTGGAGGGATAATTTTGAATAACGCGAAAAATAAATGGAAAACTTTGTTCGAGTTTTTCTACAAATTTTAATTTTTTTCAAGTAATTTAAAGAAAATGTACACACATACGTGTCAACAAAGAGAATTAATTTATACAAATACACGTTAATCCAATATAGATAAGCCTGAAAAAAAAATATCACAAATTTTCTAGGTTACACGGTGTACGTTCACCCCTCGAAGAATATACATTTATGAATCGCTGTGTACACACTCGATGTGACGGATAGACACACATATACATCATACACGCATGG